TCCACACCGCCTAACTGGCTCCTCCGCTCCGATAACAACTTTCTAAACCTCCACACTCCCGCCTCAACAAGCTCTGATTCTCCTTCCTCCGCCGCCGCTAACCAGTGGCTCTCTCGCTCCTCCTCCTTCCTCCAACGCGGCGGCGGCGCCAACAACAATAACGCCGGTTCTGGTGACGCCATGGAGAACGTTACCGGCGGAGAGGAGTCGGTGATGGGCGAGAATGCGAGGCACAAGGCGGAGATACTCTCTCATCCACTATACGAGCAGCTGTTGTCGGCACACGTGGCGTGCCTGAGGATCGCAACGCCGGTGGATCAGCTTCCGAGGATCGACGCTCAGCTCGCGCAGTCGCAGAACGTCGTGGCTAAGTACTCAACGTTAGACGCTGCTGCTCAAGGACTCATGGCTGGTGATGAAAAGGAGCTTGACCACTTCATGGTAATAACTTCTCCTTCCTTCTAACCACAATTTTATTTTATTTTTCATTATTTTATTCGTTAGCCTTTTCTAAGAAATGGTTTATTTTCTTCGGTTTGGAAAAACAAAATCAATAATTCTGTCTTGTCTTTTTTATTTATAGTTTCACAGTTTGCAAATTTGAGGATATGTATTATTTGAGTTTTGTTATAATTAAATGAGAGAAGAAAGGTAAATTTTCTTTCATAGATTGTATTTTGCACCGACACACATACATAAATCAGTGACCTGACCTGGTTGGGTATAATTAGCCAGTTTAAGATTTGGAGCTTAGTTTTTTAGTATTGATGATCTAAATCTGACAGAAGAAGTTTTATTTTGAGATGGAATGGGTTGAACAATACATTTTGCTCGTAGTTCTGACAAAACAACATAGTTTGTTTTTGTGTGTGTATGATCCATGTAACCTTTAGACTTCTGATTATTGTCATTCTAAATTTGTTTTGATCTGTTGTCTGAACGATATATATATATCATGCTTTTGTGCAGACGCATTATGTACTATTGCTGTGCTCTTTTAAAGAACAGCTTCAACAGCATGTTCGTGTGCATGCAATGGAAGCTGTTATGGCTTGTTGGGAGATTGAGCAGTCTCTTCAAAGCTTCACTGGTTAGTTTTTGTGAATTCACCTAGAATTTAAAACTTTATTATTGTTACTCTTGTATGTATTGCATTGTAGACTCAGAACCAAGGTTTGCTATTTATTTTATTTGTTATTTCATTTCTTATATATGGTACGGAAGTATTTACTGTTGTCTGTTGGGTGAGACAGGAGTGTCTGCTGGTGAAGGCACTGGAGCAACAATGTCTGAAGACGAAGATGAGCAAGTAGAGAGTGATCATACTCATTTGTTTGATGGAAGCTTAGATGGGTTAGGGTTTGGTCCTCTTGTCCCCACTGAGAGCGAGAGATCCTTAATGGAACGAGTTAGACAGGAACTCAAACATGAACTCAAGCAGGTAACATAACTCCATCATTAGTCCTACACATTATCTCATCTGTTATGTCACATTGTCCATTATTGACAAACTATTATTGTTTATTATATAAAGAAAGCTTGTATGGTAATGTCTATTATAGTGTATATGGCAAACGTTCTAGTGATCTAACGATGTGAAACCATGTTTTTTGTGAAAAGGGCTATAAGGAGAAAATTGTAGACATAAGAGAGGAGATATTGAGAAAAAGAAGAGCTGGGAAATTACCAGGAGACACCACCTCGGTTCTCAAAGCTTGGTGGCAGTCTCATTCTAAGTGGCCTTACCCTACTGTGAGTTCTCTTTTTTTTACTTCAATCACATTCGCGACTTCTTTTTCATTTTCATTGTTAATCTCCTAAGTTTAAAATGAATATGATGACTTTGGCAGGAGGAAGATAAGGCGAGGTTGGTGCAGGAGACGGGTTTGCAGCTCAAACAGATAAACAATTGGTTCATCAATCAAAGAAAGAGGAATTGGCATAGCAATCCATCTTCGTCCACCGCCTCAAAGAACAAACGCAAAAGGTAATACTGACAAAACTGTAGTAAGAGTTAATCCAAGATAGGACAATTCTAGTTGAGAAAATATACAATCACACGAATTATGCTAGTGTGCAAAGTGTATAGCTTAAATTAATACGTTAGTGTGAGCTTGTTTAAGCATTGGTTTAGATTAAATTTAGTTATTTTTTAAGAAAATATGGAGTCACTGAATTTCGGAGAGTTGTTTTATGAAGCAATGCAGGTGAAAATAGCGGAAGAGAGCGTTGAAGTCAGTTTGTAGCTGTGCATGGAAAGATCCAGTAGCTTGATAGAAGGTTGGAGATACAAAGATAAAACTCCTACACAAAACCAACGTAGAAAGTATTTTTGTGACTCATATGTTGTATTAGGAGCACTCAACGCAAAAGACCAAGAAGCAGAATGAAGCATGATTTGTATTATGAGGCTAAGATGAAATTTGTGATAGGATCTTCACTACCATCCACATTATTATTATCATATCTTGTGAATAACAAGGATTTTTCTCTTTTAACTTTTGTGCGAAGGTAGACTTTCTCGGCCGTTGACCGTTGTCGAAATTAAAACTTTTTATCATAGAACTTTTTCCATTTGGGCCTGACTATTATCTTCGGTATCAAAATCTCGAGCGTATTGGGCCTAGTTGTCTCTTGACACATCGCCACGTTTTTCTACGTAATTACGTAGTCACCTGCAGTTAATTCGGTTAATATGTACTAGTGTAATATTTGTTTATTCAGATTTGGTTGCACGTAAATCAAATTAGTTTATTTTATTTTTTTGTTGGATTTGCTTCACTTCAATTCGTTCATCTTTTCGATTAAAAGAGACTAAGGCTAATAGTGGCAATCCTAAATAGCAGAAGGGAGTCTCCTTGAACTTTAAGAGACAAAAAGACACAGAGGAATAAGATTGCATGACGTGGTTTTCTGATTTGTCTTTGTCTTCTACTTATATGACAGTAATCTAAGAAGAGTGTTTCTCGATAGCTGGGCCAAAAGGCAGCTGTGTGTTATCTGTTAATTAACAGTGACGAAACAGCCACTTCTGTTCTCTTTTGTCCTTATGGGATAATAATGTTTTTTTCTTTTCCAATTTACAGTGCTGAATTAATTGAAAGATTAGCTATCTGAAAGTGACACGAAAAAAATAAAGTGATACAGATAAAATAAAGTACTAGTGGGTAACTAGGGGGATAAAGAATAAAGAGACTCGAGAATAAAACAGACACAAGGACGACAAAGGAAGTTCACAACATTCTCTCTTACTCTATCATGAGCTTCTTTATGTTTTAATGTTAGCCAATGTACACGGAAATTTCTGGTCTGATATTCTACAAAAAACAAAAAACAAAAAACAGAATATAGTACGATAATCATTTAAACAAATATTATGTTCGTCTGGTTGTTTCTGTAAAAAAGCTTTTGATATATGGCAAACTTATCTTGGTACGGCGGCTATATTTGTGTAAGTTGAGGTCACGACCTCTTAAATCAAATTTAATATAATATAACTTTGACATACACTGATATACATTCGTTGTTGGTGTCACGATGCAGTTTATCACTCATATCACAAAACAAGCTGAAAATTACCTTAAAATTAGGGCAAAAAGGACTATACTCTACACATAAATAAACTTACCTTTAGTAACAATTACTCAGTCTGTAACTCTAATGTACTAGGAGATATTTTAGAAAAGTGCATCTCAACGTCAAAAGTTCATGTCGACGTTGGACGCATATTTATTTGTATATATGTATATATAAATGTGACTACAAATATCTGAAAGTTGAAAATTCAATGAGGACGATTGATAATGAATGTTGTGACTTTCATGAGAGATCAAGTCTAGCTAGAGAAATATCTTGTAAGGGAAAAAATATAAAAAAATGCATGATTAAATTTTTAAAAGGGTAATACTATACATATAAGTAAGATTTGAAGCATCAAAGAGAAAGAGACATGTCGAATGGTGGCAAGTGGTGTATCACTAGATTCACTACATAACAACCCAAACATCAATACATGTGAAAAATACGTTTTAGGTACTTTTCCTTCTTCTTTTTCTTTCATCCCCACTTCACTTCATTTCACACTCTTATCTTCAGTCTACCTCCACTCGTTTCTTGCTTTCTTTTTTAAAAACGTTGAGGATAATATGATACTTGGCCTCCACTATCTTCAACCGGCTTTAGATGCTTATGCTCGTACCCACCTTACCAATATCTCTGAATATTAGTTACCACTTTAAAATAACAATGTATAATTAATTCAAACGTGACGATCGATTCTTCTAATTATTAAATTAATAGTTCGCGTATAGCTGAACCAAGCTCCTGTGCTCGACAGAGTATAACCAAATTTTTGTGTCATGTCCATGAGATTACTAGGACTAGAAGTCTACACATTGTCTTTGCTCTTGCATACTGCGACAGTCAAAACATGAAAATTTATTTACCTCGTACGCCGACACAACTAGAATCTCTTCTGTGGTTATGTTATAGTCTTTAATGTTTTAAAACCTCCGAACCCACTCAAAGTTTTGCTGGAATATAGCTTTTGCTGTTTTGCTGTTTTTGATACTTTGACTTTTCAAATGCTTATCGCTTAGAATCTTCACTTGACTCATGTTTTAGCTAGCTAGCTAGCTAGGTTCTAATAACGTTGATTAATTAATCCTCAGCTCAAGAATATCGTCAATCATCATTTGTAGCTCTCCAGTTTTTGTCGGAACATGTTTTGTACCAGCTTCAAAATAGTGTGGTAATTAGTGACCGGCTAATATCAACTCCAGTTATGCCTTTTTTTTTTTAATTATACGTGGATTGATATAATAATCACGACTACTAAATAAGAACATTCTACGAATCAGAAGTGAAAACGATCAGACTGTACACTGTAATAGTAAAGTAGATGTTTATTGGGTGAATCGGCTGAAAATACAAGAAGAATGTAGTAATTAAGAAAATGCCTAAAATTGTGGGGAAATAGTGAAGATGGAGGGAAAAAAATTAGGGGGAAATTGTGTATGAAGTGCAAATATGGTAAATGTTGTAGGTATGGAGTACAAATATTCATGTTTATTTACAAAGAAATATCAGAGAGCCTATATTGAAAATGTTTCTTATTTATTTTGCACACATTATCAATATGCGAAAAGGCTTTTAATAATGACGTCATATACGTACATCATTTCTCAACTCTCAAATAAGCACAACGGAGAGAACATTCACATTCCGCCGTCACACAAACAAAGGTCAGAACGAGATAAGATCAACCGCCGCCGATCTAGGTTTCGTTACCGGAGACGCAGGCAACCTCGCCGTGAAACTAGGAAAAGAACCGTCCTCGTCCGCTCGTACATCATCCTCGAAATTGAGCGCGTAGCTGAAGGCATCGTAGCTAAAATCCACAGGAGAGCTCTGGTGTCTCTGGTTGTTGTGGTAATGATGATGAGCGCAATTATAAGCGCAGTTGTTGTTGCGGCACGTGACCTTGACACGTGTCTTGACGCGGCGACAGCGTCCTCTGAGCTCGAGCTCCTGCGCTGTGGATTTGAGCCACTCGTAAGGAGACCGAGGTGTTCTTGGTCCTCCCATCATGGCTTCGGGTTCAACCACAGCGTTGGCTCCGAGACAGCAGATGGGAGATCTCATTCTGTGGGTGGTTCCTCTCGTTGATCTAGCGGAAGACGGAGAAGTGCATTGGTTGTACATCTTGAGAAAAAAACTGAAACTGTTAAGGAAAGAGAAAATGTTCTGTTAGTAAAATAACCTGGAGAAAGAAGGAATGTGAGAGAGAATATATAGGAGAGAAATTAGGGAAGAAAATTGAAAAAGTGTGGGTGGTAAGTGGGCTTGGGCCTGTAATTCGAGTTTTCAAAGTGTTTGTTCAAAGTAAAAAAAAGAAAAAAAAGAGACAATTGATGTAATGTACCCAACGAAGATCTAAATTGGCGAAATGTCCATGGTTATGGATAATCCAAAAAGGAGTAACCTTTTGACACTGTGCGGACGAAAATGCCCTCTTACTTTATCGAAAACATGTAACTTTAGATTTAACGGATACACATTATGTTAACTGAACACTAAGAGATATTTATCAGTTTTAACATGATATAAAAATGGTTAGCAAATTGATAAAATTTTAACATGCTACAAATTTTGTTATCGGGTTATGTCTATTTATTAATGTGTTAAATAAATCACTAACAAACATGTTAGCATGTTAATAATACTATTATCATAAAAATACATATATTAACCGCTAATCAATTATCTATCAAATAGCCGTAATCCTATTTGTAACAGCTAACACTTTATGTATCGGTTACAAATTCATTAAAATATAATAATAACAGGTAAATAATGAAATAGCTGCTAACTTACATATTATCCAAATAAAAGAATGTATATTTCAAGATTTGATATTAGAAATAATAGAATTAGTGTGAGATAATAACATTAGCAATATGGGTGTCAAAAGAATCAGAGTAAAAAATAGAGATTTATGATGAAAAAATAAAAGCATAAATATGTCATGTGTGAGAGATAAAGAGATTAGAAGATATGGAAGAGAAGAGAGAGAGAATGAGATAGGGGTATAATGGTCAGACAAAATAATTTCTATTTTGGAAGGTTAGATGGCAAATATGAGGTGTATTTAGGGACAATTCCACCAATTTCTGTAAAAAAAATGCAAGAAAAGTCATCTTTCAATAGGACTCACAAGAGTTTGTTGCTTCTTCACCTATAAACAATAAGAGGTTAATACTATATCATGGACATAATAACATAACACAAACCTTTTTATTCTCTTGTTATAGGCTCAGACGCTGGAATTTTTTGGTAAACAAGCTTTATCAAGTTAGAGAAATAACACTTTACAAGCATACGCCAAAACTAAAATTATTTCAACAAAGGTAAATTTAGGGACTTTTGATAAGGATTTACACCTGCTACTTGCACTTTGTGACCAAAAGCTTTTTAAGCATTGATATAGTGTTTGGCGAAATAATAAATATAACCCCTGAGTTGCTTAGATTTTGTGTTTTAAACCATAAGGTTTACTTTCTTTTATTAAACCCCCTCTATTGCTGTCTCTTTTTTTTCTCTTCCCGAAGATTTTCGGCTGCGACGATTCTCACCCTACAAGCTTCCTGAACCCTAAACCCCTCTTGAATCTGATGCTCACCTCGATAATCCCTTAAATGCACATCTTCAAAAAACAACACCTAGCTCCGTCTCGGGAGTGGAATAACCAACTTCGTGTCATTAAATGTAGAGTCAGACGTGGTGGTCATTGGCCTTTGTCTGCTTCTTCTCTTGAGATTCGCTAGTAAAGACATGAGATGGCTGAGATATCTAAATCAATGGCGTGGAACGGCGAAAGAAGCATTCAATCAAGTTTCAACCGTCGCCAAGTTTCTCTGTTTGCTTCATGTCACCGATCGTTACATAATCTCTTCCACTCACGTCTTAAATCATTGCATTGCAAGTTAATCTCTTTTGTTTCTTTTCTTACATAATCTCTAACTTCGTTGTATTGGTTTCTGGTTCAAGGTCCTAGCATGCTTCCCACGCTTAATCTCACCGGCTATATACTTTTGGCGGAACATTTGTCTCATAGGTTCGGTAAGATTGGTCTTGGCGACGTTGTATTGGTTCGATCTCGGACAGACCCAAAGAGAATGTTGACAAAGCGGGTCTTGGGTTTAGAAGGGCATAGACTCTCTTTCTATGCTGACCCATTGGTCCGTGATGACTCATTCAGCGTTGTGGTATGAGCATAGAGCAATCTCTATATTCAAAGTTTCATAAAAAATGTGCAAATTTTTAAGGTGAACCGTTGAGATTTATGCGACCACCGAAAAGCTTATCTGATATAAGGTTTATGTGTTGCTTCTTCAAATAGGTTCCAAACGGTCATGTTTGGATTCAAGGAGATAACTTGCATGCTTCAACGGATTCACGTAATTTTGGATCTGTACCTTACAGTCTTACCGAAGGAAAAGCTCTTTTGCGGGTAAGTCTTTTGTTGTCTTGAACCTTCTTTTCTTGTATGAAATACACAATTAGTAACTATCTGTTTGCTTCTATAGGTCTGGCCACCACGATACTTTGGGTCATTGAGGTGACGATCACGTTCGAGTTGTTTCAGTTGCTTTTGCAGTAAGATGCGTCTAGAGATTAAGTTGGGGTGTTGTTCATACTCATTATAGTAATGTTATCATTTAAATTTAAATAAAACACAGAAGTCAAATAAGCATTTTTTGCTCTATTTCCTTGTTGGCGATATTAGAGGAAGCCAGGAGGCTGATTTTGATGATACGTGACGTGAAAGCTATATCTACTGTTAAAATTCATGTTGGAGGATAATTGTTGCTTGAACAAAGTTTTAGATGTGTTGCTCCGTTTGAGATGTGAAGCCAATCTGGAAGAAAGACAGACCGGTTCAATAGAAACCTAACTAAACAGAACAAGTCTTGTCCTTTAGCCAATCATATTTTCAAGATATGTTTGATTAGCAAAGTGTTTCAAAGTTGGATCAGACAGGCCGGTCTGACCGGAAATAGTCACTAAACAAGTAGAGAATTTCACGAACTAAGTGTAGTAGATTAAGTTATGATAATAGCCAATAGCATTTGGAAACTTAGAAATCACAATGGCTTCTTCAATGGTTGCTTCATACTGTAAAAAGAAAACAGACGAGTGACTATTGATATGATTAGAACGTTTAACCATAAATTTAAAACATTGAGATGCTTGATCTTGGTAAATTGTATATAATAGTGATTTCTGGATTGTTTAGATAATACCAGGATATTTAAATGTCTCTATTAGGTGGATGGTTATTGATTAACCAAATCTACAAAGATGTGTCGAAGCGGAGAGGAAAATAGTGGCAAATCAGCATAATATCATAATTATTAAGGAGTATAGGTGGTTGAGTGTATTGTGTTACATACAATACTTAGTACTAAACTAGTAGACTTTCACGAACAATAGACAAAGAAAAGTGTTCTGATTAAGCTAGGATAATAGCCAGTAGCATTAGAAACTTATAAATCACAATCGCTTCTTCACAGTTGCTTCATATTGGTAAAAATAAAGCAGATGAGTAAACTATTGATATGATTAGAACCTTTAACCAAAATTACAAAACATATTGATAAAAATCCACTATATGATATGATTTCTGGATTGTTTAGATAATAGCAATACGTACCAATTTATCCAAATGTCTCTTTTAGGTGGATGGCTATTGATTAACCAAATCTACAAAGTGGTGTGGAAGCAGAGAAGAAAATAATGGCAAATCAGAATAATATCAACATTATTGAAATCGAGATATGTTATAATATTGAGTACTAGTACAACCTCATTGCTACCTCCACTTTAATAACATGGATATGAAAATATCCCGGAGTAAAATAAGCATCTCATTCTTAATAATGAGATTCTCAAATTTTGCTTTAGTTTAAATAATCATCAAAGTCTGCCATTGGTGTCAAGCCATCAATACATAAGATTCTTATGTTTAACATTATCACAGCATATACTTTATACTGCATGATATATCAGACATAGTTTTCCGTTAATGGAGGTCTTTAACACGTTTTATACTCTCATATAGCTAAAATAAAACTCAATTTATTTGCTATAAATAAGTGACCCGAGGTTACAAAATTACTCTCGCGATTATGTCACCACTAGCTTAAAAGACTTTCCTTGCAAAGAGAGGTAAAGCAAAAATATAGTGGTGAGTCGAGGTGATACTAGTAGATAGGTTGTAATAACAAACAATAATCACATGAGCCACTACTTGACCATGACCTGACCACGACCATGCTAAGCAAATCTAAATCTACTGTCAGACATTGAATCACCAGTTAAACACTTATGTCTCTTGGATTGTTATGCTGAGGCTAGGTAAGCCTGGACACGTGTGTGGCTCAGCCACACGTGTCGTACTTGTGTGGGACGACGTGAGTTGACGTTGTTAGCCTATTGCTTTAACACCGATGTATGTCCCGACCATACATAAATAATTGATCTGTCCCTAACTCACCCAACATGAACCCCATGTGCCTCGCATTATTGGACCCTCAACTATTTTAAAATTATTTTAGTTCTTAGATTCGTCTGAATTAACCCGTTACAATCGTCCTACCTACTTTAGTATTTAGTAGTGTATGTAATGTTTAATACTATTTGTATTTTATAGCCTTTTAAAAATTATTATTCTATGTGTTATTAAGTGATATATAGATATTGATATTGATATTGATATTGATATTGTGAATTGCAGAATTTGGGTTATATATATCAAGGCCATTTCTCTTTTTCATAAAATGGTTTCATCCACTAGGAAGACACGACTATATGTTTAGCTAACTTAATCATTATATTCATTGTTCGTCTTTAAGGTAAAGAAAGATACTGAATTACACCAACCAGTATCATCTCAAACGAACTAGGAGATTTGGTCATGAGTAAACTCCTTTTCCCATTAAGTAGATCAGCTAAGATTCTTTCAATCACCTTTAGTTGGACTTCTCTTAAGAAACCAAAGCCAACGTTAACTATATTCTTCAAGTCTCACTTAACTTTCTCATAACCTTTCATAGAATATTTATGTTTAATGGCTACAAGCGAAGACCCATATTGGAATAACGTTTTTGAGAGATGATTGCATCTCTCAAACAATCAAAATATTAGAGTATGTAATTCTTTTTCAGAGAGCAAAATCAGCTTAAATTTTTTGATATAATGGCTAGTATTTGTACTTCTGTAATAACACACGTTCTAATTTGTTACATAATGTTGGAAAGAATATTTCGAATCATGTTCCATCACCTAGGATGTTTTATTTGACTCCAGTATTAAACATAGTTGCATGATTCTCCTCCACTGAGATTGTTCTCTTTCGCTTTCCATCAGTCATTTTTTTTACCAGCAAAATACGTCCTTGCGGATTCACTTGGCCGATTGGTTCAAAACTAAATTGAAATGGAAGAATCTAGCAACCTCAACTACTATATGATAGAATCAGTTAGATCATAGATGTATCTTAATATATACACGTTTATGTTCACAAGATTTTATATTGTTGTTGGATACTAGCAACTACTTTCGAATACAATCAACTAACATTTGATCGTAAGACCAAGCGCATGTTTCAGACCAACACATAAGATAAAAAATTATCTTTCTCAACAAATAAAATCAATAAATGTGGTTTGAAAGTTTGATATTTAAAATTTACTAAAAATCTAAATTTTCATAGAACCTTTACATACTTCACACTTAAATGTATAATTCATTTTTTTTTTAAACTGGTTTTCTTGTTCATTTCATAAATTTTTATTTTTTCAGGGAATATCTACTTGAATTAATTGTTCTGAATCGGCAGTTATGACCATTAGATTGCGACAACAATAAAAGACAATTGAAAATTGTAAATCCGGGCTCTTGGGCGCAAAACAACAGGCAATGGGCATTACGTTATACCGCAGCTTTTCCGGGAGGTACGAGCTGGCATCTTTTCTCAGTCCTCACACGTGGCAGCTTTTCTAACTGCCCACAAAGGCCTTCCTCCGTGTCATCCTTCTCAGCCGTCGGATCAAGAACCCGATTCTTTCCGAAACGGCCAAACCGCCAAATTGAAAAAAGGAAAAAAGGCAAAAAGGAAAATAGCTATAATAAATTTGCTAACCATGGTTAAGTTTGACTAACCCGACAGAGAATCACACAAAAATCCGAAAAAGGTCAAACTTTTAGGAAATATTTACATTTCTGCCATTGACCCCATTTTGCTATAAATTCGGTCACGGAGACTCGCTAGGTTTGCCGAATCAACCTCTCTCCGACACCTTCTAAAAAGAGAGAACAAACTCAAAAATTTTAGTTTTTTGACTTTTAAAAATATGCAAAGAAAAACGATGGTAACGACGTCGTCTCGTACAAAGTCTAATAACGGCCCTGTGCTCCGTTCCCAATCACCATCAGGCCGTTTCTGCGGCGGTTACTCCACACCGTCGTCTTCCTCTTCAGCTTTCGCTTCCTCCACGAGTTCAAGCTTCTCATCTCCCTCCTCAGCTTTCTTCAGCAACCGTCACGATACTCAAAGCCACCACCGTTCCGCGTCTCCCACACGCGTGAATCTCTACAAATCGCAACCGATTTCGTTTTCGTTAGACTCCAGATCCATCTCCCCGACTAATAACAACAGATCCATCTCCGTCACGAAGAAGCCTCAGCCTAGCAAGATCTCTTCCCCGAGGAGGTGTATGTGTTCCCCGACGACGCATCCCGGATCCTTCAGATGTAGTTTGCATAAGAACGTGGCGAATCCGCACGGACAAGGCGCGACGGCGTCGTATCCGACGAATAGTTTGAACATGAGGAGATCCGCGATGACGAATTCGCTGGTGAGGATCGGTGGTGTGGAAGGGGAGTGGGTGAGGAGAGCGTTGACGACTTTGATAAGGCCTTCGTCGCATCATTTGAAAAGGAGAGCTGCTTATCAGCCTCGTCCGAGTCGGTTATCGATCATGTCGAGTGCCACCGAGTGTAATTGATCTGTTAATTAGATTTTCAGGTTTGTTCTTCTCTTTTTAAAATCAACAGCAGGATTGATTAATCGGCGACAGATTACAGATCTGGAGAGGAAGACTCTTAATCGGCGATTGTGGGAGAAAATTGAGAATCTAAACCTGGAAATGGAGTTTTGTAAAACGAAGATCGAAAGAAACACACACCTTCATATATTTTTTTTTATGTTGTTGGGTGTAGAAAGATGCGAAATGCATTTGTACATAGACTTAATTTTACTGTTCTTGCGTCTCCGGTCTCTTATAAAAATATCGGACTCTCGAAATTGCACTTAGCTAGAATCAAACTATAAAAATCTGGTAATTAAACAGATCTGAAATCAACTTTTTTTTTCTAAGGCAAGTGATAATTTAGATCTCTAATCCCACATCAATGGTGCGTTTGTCAGAGTTTTGTTTTCTCGTGTTCCGTCAAGTCAACGTTTCGTGGCCTTCGTTGACCGCCACGTTCACCGTCGTCGTTTCTTCCGTTACTTATTGAGGTTCGTTGTGTGAGGTATGTATTGTTCGTTCAATTTATTTATTTTAGGTTCTTGTAATTATTATTTTAATATTTTGCTTTAGTCTCTTGTTTTGTAGGTTGCGTTTGGCGATGGAGTTTAAGCTAAGGGCTAACCAGGACATGAAATTTCGGATGGCACTGAAAGATGGACAAAAAAATAACAGTAGAAAAATAAATTTCGTAGAAAAATGTTCCATCCAAAACGCGAGAATGGATTTTCATGGCGAACAAAATCACTCACCGAAAATAATTGATGACAAAAATTTATTTGACTCCAAAGAAAAATGGAAATTCAGGGGAAACGAGAATGGTGATTTGGTTAGCTGACTGACCAGTAGAAAACGACTTAACATGGAATAGTCACATGATTTAGATTGAAAATTACATAACGAGAAATTAAGAATCATTCAATTCATAGTGCATGAACAGATAGAACTGCAACGTTTGAAATAAGAGAAAACAAGAGGCAAAAGTGGGTAAAAAATAGGATCCCCCAGTGTTAGATAGACCGGTTTATTTTCAATCAGTTTTGGTTTTTGCATATAGACTTCGGTTAGGATACTCATTTTATCGAGTTTGGGTTCTGTCACTCACTTACACATTGAGTTGGTCGAGCTATACGTATCTTATGTCAACAATCTATTCTGAGGACATGTCACCGTATTTTTTTCTTTAATTGATTGTATCAGGTGGAAATGGTTTTCATCACTCTTACTAGAATTGAGTGGTTGTTCAGCGCATGAGAACAGGAAGGAGATAGTGATGTATTTATGTTGTTTTGGACGCATTTACTGCTATTCTAGACTAGGCTTTTGGTGCCTAAGATCATCTGGTTTTGTTACTACATTCGATATTTTGTAGAAGTTGGTCTTTTAATGAGTTTTGCTCTAACAAGTCAAACTTAGATGTCCTGATAAAATTGGTAGATGAGAAGTTTTTTCGTTTTGTAATTTTGAGAATGGTAGCTGCCCAAATGAATTTCATATATTCAAAAATCATACTGACATCACGACATATTAACGGACTATATACATTACAAGTAGTTTGATAGATCTTCCAAGAGACGCATTGCCATAAATTGTACCAAGCCAATAAGATGAGGAAAGGGTGAAATAAAAGCATCGTTCAATTTATAAAGAGGAAAGAGTGGAATGAAGATGTGGGATACACGTCTTCCTTACCTGGAAGAGTATATGTGCCACCATCATTTTGTTAAATAATTGGTATATTTAGATTACTAAAATATCTATTATATAGTTATATTGATATTTTTTTCATAATAAGTTTGGTTCAATTCATAGTGACATCATAAGAGGTCGGTCGACTACTTGCCTAATACTATTATTAGGTTGCAAATATATAAAGAGATACATTTTTTTATTACGATAAAGAAAGAATGAAAAGATGCGTGAAAGCGATATATTATGAGTTTATGACTTAGGTAAGGTGGAAACCAAACTTGTTGTGATGTGAAAACAGAAATATAGTATGAACGCATCTTCCATCATTAAGGGAGATACTGTTTTGTTATTGTGTAACTAAGATTTTATTTTCCATACACAATCTTTTGAAGATTTTTCAAAAATTCTACGTAAAGCTTGTTACATAATTAAATAGATTTGCAAGATATGTATCGGTACAATTAAGCAATGCACTTGATGGCTGGTTAGTGGTTAATTTGAAGCGATTCTTCTGTCTTTCCATTTCGTGACTCCCACGAAGACGTGCTCAGTTTTTTTAATAGTTTCGAAGGAGGACTCTTTCAGAGTATATAAAATATTGATATTTAAATGTGTTAACTGAAACTGCTGTTACTAAATTAATCGAAATGGCTACATTCGTTTGGTGTTTTCGAGTCAGGAAATGACGAAGGTGAGTGTATTTTGCGTGGCGGATTGTAACTTTCTGAAAAAGACTTGGAGATGGGGTTGCTTGTGTCCAAAGCGTGAGATTACAAACAACTTTTTTTTTTTTGCTAAAAAGATTACAAACAAGTGAACAACTTGATACTCTTTTCTTTTCCCCCCAACTTAGTATGTTTTTGATCTTTTTTTTAAAGTTTGTTAAAATTGAGCTCTCATTATTTCTTTCTATCAATTTTGTTACTCACCTGACCATTTTGATAAAAAAATTAAAGTTTTAAACCTCTCTAGATAATTTTCGTAAATTTACTAGCTTTCTTCATATAATAATATCTATGACGTTAAACACTAACACAAAAGGTGTACTTTAAAAAGGAATACAGATCGTATATAACTCTATTCTCTATTCCCTGTTATTAGTTTTGTTAAAAATCAATATCAATCACACTAAGTTATGTTCTCAAATGTTCCACACTCTAATCACACGTATTTTTGCACTCTTATTCTTCTGACACGTTTGTGGGGTTAGTTTTCAGGTCAAACCGACATTTAGCAAAAGCAGATGACTATGGAATAAGGACCATATGCTTATCAATGACTATATAATATCAACATATTTTTCCTCCGAGATACACCTCCGATGTGGTCCTTTTCCTTTAGCTTATGTTTGTTGAATTCGAAAACCTTCTCTTTTGAATTTTATTCTTTAAAGAAATAAGATGGCGTAACAAGCAAGTTAATCGAGAATATGGGTGTCTAGTCCATATTAAAATTTTGAATATTTTATTCGCTAATATAAGTTAACGAAACAGAACAGAAAATGATTATTGGACATCAGTCATTTCATATCTTTGAATTATTTAAAAGACCTTGACGGAGATCATAAGTTTCGTAACTAATATTTTTCCCACACAATCATAGTCTGCAAGGTTTCATTTTGTATGATCCATCTTTTTAAGCAACGATCTATTCTTGATGATTCTGACTGTATATTAATACCATTGTTTATTCACATTCCCAAAATAGACGTGAAGAACGGTCAACAACGGCAGTTCACAGATCGAGGAGACCTAAATTTTCAAAAATGTTTCGTTCTTGAATACCTAATTCAGTTTGACATCTAGCTACCAAAATTTAAATGTAAGAGAGGCACATGACGGTCTTCAATATGATTAATGTGTCGTATTCAACCGTTTGGATAGTTATGACTATTAAATACAAGAGGCGAGACTCGTGTGTTCTGTTCTTTCCTGTTTAGTTCCGTTAAGCAAAGTACATTTTTCATGACTACTGATACATTCAGTGATTATTTTCTAAACCATTGAGTGTTTATGTAATTACATTTGTAGATGTTTCTAGCTACTTTGACACTCAACGATCTTGACCTCTATCGACTCTCTCTCACTAACCACTCGCCTCTCGTTTGTTTAGGTTCGCGACTCCGTTTACACACGGAAGATAAGCAACAGAAAGAAGAAAGAAAACAGAGCACACACAAGACGTTTTAGAGTTCCCCGTCAATAGACTAGGTACATCTCCTTCAGGATCGGTGCCTGGAATTCACTATCACCACGAGATACAGAAACTCAAGTAAGATCTACAATGCTTCTCTCGAGTCACCTCTCTCTCTGTTTCTCATCTACTCTTATCGAAGACGAAGAAGTCAGTTATAACCGTTACAACAGATAAGGTTGTAAACGACGACGTTGCTTCATTAATCTCTTTTGGGCCGAACGAACCTGTATCAAGCCCATTAAGCCACTCACTCTATCTTGGGCCATTGATCGAAGACCACTTCTTCACAATCTCCACCTTGGTCTCGATCATCTCTCCAAATGTCTGAACAAAATTCAAACTGAAGATACAATTCTGACTTCGTGTGTTCTTTCCACCGATCCTGGAAACTCAACTCTTTTGTCCTCACTTCGAGTTTTACCTTCCAACTTCCTTATCACCCAGAAGTTGCTAACCTCGTCTCATCTGACTTCCGAGACGAATTTATCCTACAGTCGTCTTCTCAGTTCCAAAGAACGACTGTCGCTGCTCTCTCTCAGAACTTGATAACCTTCAACCTAGCGAGACAACCTTCAAACTTCTCACCAGGTAAGGTTTTCGTTAACATGTCTGCTGGATTGACTGACGTATGAATCTTCAGAACTCGTACTGTACCATCTGCTATTATCTCTCTGATAAAATTATACTTAACTGCCATGTGCTTAGTTGACTCCCTGTAGATATAATTCTTTGACAAGTAGATTGCACTCTGAGAATCACAGTTTACCTCAATGGAACCTCTGTTGAAACCCAATTCTTCACAAATACCCTTGAGCCAAATACCTTCTTTGATTGCCTCTGATAACGAAATATACTCAGCCTCTGTAGTTGAAAGAGCTACTACCTTTTGCAGGGTTGATCTCCAACTCACTGTGTTTCCACCAATAGTGAACACGTAGCTTGCAATGGATCTCCTCTTATCAAGATCTGCTGCGTAGTCAGCATCGCAATACCCTCTTATCATGAAGTCTTTCTCCTTTGTAAAGGTAAGACTTATCTCCAAAGCTCCCTGAATATACCGCATTATCCATTTTACTGCCTGCCAGTGACACCTTCCTGGTTTACTCATGTACCTGCAAACGAGTCCCACGGCATAAGCAAGATCTGGCCTGGAACCAACCATGGCGTACATGAGGCTTCCCACCGCACTGGAGTAAGGTACACTTTCCATTTCCCTTGCTTCTATAACTTCCTCTTCTT